GCCAGCTTCTCGGCCAGCTTCATCCGTGTGATACACCGACTCTTCGCTTCTAACTGGTATTTCTGGATTGACATTTAAACGGTTCTTTTGCGCACAACTGGAAACTGTAACTGAAGAATAGCGCCGTCGAGCTGCGAGCTGCGAGCTGTGAGCTTTGAGCTGTGAGCTGTAATGCTGCAGCATTAAAATGAGCACACTGACTTGTACGGCCTCTGGCCACAATGCGATCAAACAGTCAACTGATTGCCAAGTTATTATCATTAATACTTGCGCCTTTTTTACTATTCATCCCAAGACTTTTCACACACCCCAAATCGCTACGAATTTATGCGGCAGAAACACAAATCTTTGCTGAGGATTTATTTTTCTTAGCTCAAAACAGCTTGTAAATTTCAAAGCCCTAATGATTTCTCTATTTGTTTACACGAAGAATTTATTTTGTAAACAGTTTACCCCAAGTTGCTTCCCAAATGTTTTGAAACTAAAAAAATAAATATTACAATCATTTATTCCGCCCAATAAAAATAATTGGCAACCATAATTAAACATTTCCGTTGCTAGTAAAAAAAATCAATCTTAGGCAAAAGCAATAATAAAATAGCTCAGCTAATGAACAATCGCTGTTCGATTTACATTTAAGATTTTTAAGTCGGGATATAAAAGTAAATTGGCTTCCTAACAATTTTAATTTTAATTGAATTAAGAAATTATTTTCTTTAGGGTCGCAATGCAAAGCGAAAGCAATAACTTAAGAGCATAAAAATAATTTACTTTATTACCAATCGTGGCTCGATCACATTAAAACTTTTTAGATAGATATAAAAGTAAATTGGCTTTTTGTGATGCTTATTGATTAATTGATTTTTATAGTGGCTCTCAGGTGTGATTGTTATTTATACTCCTGTCATATTAGGCCTCAGTAACTTGTCATCCGTTAAAAAAATGTTTTTCCTAATTTATGGCTCTCAAAAAGAGGACATTTCCTACCACGCAAGCATTCCGATAAAATGCGGAGTGGTGTGCAGAATTTCAAAGCCACCGGTTTTGTGGACAACACGTTTTCGTAGCCAAATAAACCGCAGGTTTGTCCAAGATTAGACTATTTAAGAGAACGTTTCCATCCATGTTATTAGTTAGAAACCGGCCTCTTGGCTGAAGCCGCTCTTCTCACGTTTATCACACTCTTCTCTCCCAACTCTCCGCTCTCGAATTCTCCACTTTGAGGTGGCTCCAGTCAAACATGTTTGAGCCATCACCGCTACTAGTGGTCTGCGCTGCGTTTCAAGCCACACTGCGCTGCGCGTACATTGACCGTTCGACTTGACCGGTTGCCGGTTGAAGATCGCATTTAGAGGCTCTTTAATTAAGAGAAAAAAAAACCGAGCCTAATACCCTATAGCCTATACCCCATACCCCATACCCCATACCTCAGGCCTATATAGACAGACGACTCGAAACGGCTTTAAATTAGCAATTAGTAAAAGACTTTTATTATTTGTTTAATAGGTTAAGCATTCCCTTTCTGCAGATTTATAGTTGCAGTTACTTAACTTTACTCCTATTTTTTAAGACCTGCTAGTAGACTTAATGTAACTACCACCGACCGTTTCCCCCCCCAAATCTTATAAATCAACAATCCCCAGGGAAGACATTTTTATCTTATCTGGTTTCTTGTTTCAACAATTAAGCATCTGCTTGCAAAGATAAATAATCGAGACATTACAGTTCCCTGTTTAAGCGAGAATCCACACTTTAGAGTGTCAATGACTTTAATTCATACACGGATTAGGCAAAAACCGAGAGCTCCAAAATATGTCCCACCATGCGACCTATGTCAATGAAATCTCTGCGGCAGTTATGCCCGGTGTTTTAGATCCTTGTTTATAATGCGGTAATTAAATGTGCACAGTCTCTTTGGACACTTTTTAATTGCACGTCGTTCTGGTGAAAGATACTTAGCTCGAGTAATTAGCCGGTTTCTAGTGGAGGCTACATATGCGATGCCAGAAAAGGTGTTGGCGGTCGTCGGTCTTCAGAAGCAAGTAGCTATTGTTATTCTTTTTGTTTTCCTACGCTACCCACTAAGATGCTGGGTCGAGATCTTTGTGAAACGATGTCTGCCCTATAACGCAATGCCGCGCTAACTGTATGTCTTGAATTCTTGCCCATTGAAGCACACGCTGACGGGTCACAGTGGCAAAGTAATGGCCGCCAAATATGTCCAAGAGCCCATTAAAGTGGTGACCGGAAGCCATGACCGCACTCTGAAGATATGGGATTTGCGCAGCATCGCCTGCATAGAGACGAAATTCGCCGGATCTAGTTGCAATGATCTCGTGACCACCGACAGCCTGGGTTCAACGATTATCAGCGGGCACTACGACAAGAAGATCCGTTTCTGGGACATACGTACCGAGAAGCAAGCTGATGATGTCCTAATGCCGGCCAAAATCACCTCTTTGGATTTGTCAAAGGGCAAGTTAACTAATTTTTGGCAATTCTAGTCACTTGTATAACATGTCAGTTCAACAGATTGCAATTACCTCATATGCTCTGTAAGAGACGATACTATTAAATTATTAGATTTACGCAAAAATCAAGTTATATCCACGTTTACGTAAGTCTATGCTTATCTGAATACTCAGAGCAACGAAATAATATAATACTTTACTTGAAACAGAAACGAACATTTTAAAATCAGCTGTGATTTTGCTCGGGCTTCGTTCAACTCGAGTGGCTTGAAGATTGCCTGTGGATCAGCGGATGGCGCCATATACATTTGGAATGTGAATGGTTTCCTAGAAGCCACTCTCAAGGGTCACAGGTGGGTCGTAAAAACTTAATAGTAGGGCGCTTCCCCAAGAGGAAGTACCTGTTAATGGCTTTGTTCATTCCACATCCTTAAATTCGTAATGCTATTAATGCTTTTTCTGCCAATGGCATCCCCTTGTTAACGTCCTTAAATTAACGCTAGTCTTGCTTTTAATCCACAGCACGGCAGTAAATGCGGTCAGTTGGAGCCCAAACAACAATATGCTGGCTTCCGTTGGAAAGAACAAACGATGCACCATATATTCGGAATCATAACCCAAAGCGTTAGTGTTGCCATAAACGTCAGTCAGTTCCATTTCACTGAAACGCTTATAGTCAGAGCTGTAATCAATAACACGGCCATGCGGAGTCTGCTGTATATAGTAAATTCGGTTGGCGAATGGTCAAGGTAAATCGCGTGCCGACTGTTTTAATAATTTTACTTGATTATTTTATTTATACTTGAAACGGATATAGTATACAAATTGTATCAATTCACATATTCATCTAAGTACATGTTTTCCTATTGTAAAAATAAAGTATATATATATATTGGGTTGCATATACGACCAATCTTACAGGAAATTGTTATTTCAACTTAATATTTATAGAGCAGCGGAGCGGAATTTATGCGCCCACAAAAGAATCTCAGCAAATGAATCGTTTTTGAATAGAAATTAAATTGGGGCATCTAGAACTAATACAGAACGGCCTTCAGTCTTCAGTTAAAAAAGAAAACCAGTTACCTTTTGCGACATCTTATTATATGCTTCTTTTCTCCTACCAGCACCTGTGGTTTCTTAGCCATAAATACGTGCACGCCGATTTAAGACAATAAAGCTCAGCCAGAAAAAACTTCTTATGCATCCTTCGAACGTGATGCATTTTAATTTCTGCATATGTGATCAATTCTTAGCACGAATGCTGTGCTGAACTGTTGCTGTTGTTGTTGCTTTTGCTTTTGCTGTGCCATTGGCGGCGAACACACATCCAATTATTTCGTGTGCTGACGGAGCACAATCGACACTGGGGAATCTCTAATTGAGCGAGGAAAATAACCACACCACGGCACCATCATTACAAATCTAACGTACATTCATTTTTATCGCCTTGCATGCATGCTTTAATTAAGAATCTTTTCAGATTATGCCTCAAAAAAAAACAACTACAATTTAGCGTTAAGTACCGCCAGCGATGTAAAATCTTTAGGCGCTGCTCTTAAGTACTCATACTCTCATACTGGTACTTGTAATGGTACCACTTGAAGTAGTGTCGTTGAAGGCGCATTGCTAAGTAAATTAATTGAGAGGAATCCAGTCGGAGTTGCAGTCATCTAGAGGAGTGGAGTGACGGCCAGACGATTGGACAGGACAGGACAGGACAGGAGTCACTTTCCCGTATGCAAGAGCGTTCCTCGAGCAGATAAAGATACAAATCTGCACGAAGCCTGTTTCCTGTTGTGCTGAGGGTGCATTTATTTGCATGATTCACACAAGCGCTGCTGCGGCTAACGATACTTATACAGCTGCTGGATCTTCGTACAGGTGTACGCCATCGCCATCACCATACACCATACACCAAACTCCAAACTCCAAACTGCAAACTTGAAACTCCATAATGAAGATGGAACGTCGAGTCGCTGGGAAAACTTACGAAAACAAGCACGACATTTGGACCTTTCTGCCTTTCAGCCTTTCAGCCAGCCTCTCTGCCCACATCGAAAAGTGAATCGCTGCCTTCCCTTCCTCGTTTTTTTGTGGCTTGGGATTAGGATTCGGATTCGGATTCGGATTCTGGCCATGGCGATGGCGATGGCGAGTGTGTCGTGCATTTTGGGCGACTCTAAGTGAGCATGTTCCTGGAAGCCCTCGAGTCGCTTTTTACAGTTGGATGCATTTAAAGTTTTATTGAAGTATAAATAATAATTCGCAGGTGTCTGCATTGCAACTCCAGTTCGCACAATTTGTTATGCGTGGGTAAAAGTCTGACTGCCTAAGACTTTTGTTCAACCATTCCCATACATGCATATGATGCTCCAAATGCAAGGAATAATAATTATAATTAATTCGAATTATTAGAAAGTTCATTTCCATATATGCAAAACCCGGTGAAATAGTTTTAGAAATTTGTTTATTATGTTCTCTAAACCCGTCCAAAAAAATAGGCACACACACACACACGGTATAAAATTCATTAAAAGTCTTAATGTTTAATAATAATAAAATGAGTTTCGTTCCATAAAATTAAAGGGGTCCAATGCAAACATTAAACTGAACATTGATATGTAATAAATTATAGTGCTTAACTAAACTAAGTCGCATTCGATACAGATACAGGTAGGGTGTTAATTCGAAAAAAGTAAATGTAATATGCATTAGTTTTTACAAATGTCAACCACTCAACTTCCGGAGTCACAAAAGAAGTTCAAGGCAGCTATAAGGGTCGAACTTCCTTTGCAAGTTGGGAATCTGTCTGAAGAATACACAAACCTAACACGATCGAGTGTTGTTTCAAAACGCCATGGCTGCAATGCAAACAATCTGAATTCTGAATGCTGAATTCTGAACTCTGAATTCCACCGAACGAACAAGACACATATAATTTCATTTTCTCTAAAATCGTGCACTGACTAGATGAGGCTAATAGCGGATGTTGGTTGTATCAGGACGACGGGTATTCGTATTCTTAGCTAATCGTAGTTAATTAGCATAACATTGCGTAAATATTGATTGCACCGTTTGAAGCTTAGACGTTATGTGTTAATATATAAGAATATGCGATTCTGTTTCTGTTTCTGCTTTTGTTTCTGTTTAGTAAGAATGCTGATACGGCTGCAGTTTCTGACGACGTTGGTAGCAATAGGTCCAGATCGCGATCACTGCCAACTGAGTTAGCAGGAAAATAGTGGCAGCCGTAATAAGACCTAATGACAAAAATAAATAAAAAAAAAAGAACGAATGGACTTGTCAGTAATATGTTCAGTTATTATTCAGGTATCTAGCTGACAAAGTGGTTCGTTTAAAAGTTTCTTTTGATCATAAAAGTGTACTTACCAATAGCGTTAACGCAAAATCCATGCCCCTCCTCGTTGGCCGTAAACGTGGTTTCATTTCCGTCATAATAATCTCCGTTTTCTTGCTTATCTTGCTTAAATCCGAATTTGTCAGTGATCTGAATGGATTGAACCAGCAGCATGTCGCTGGGAGCGGACTTCTTTGAAGTGTCTATATCGCGACGTGGTCTGGGATGATCATCTATTCGAGAACACGAAATATTTGGAGGCAAAGAGAAAAGTTTTAATTACTTTTGGTCATCAATTAAATGATTATTTTATTTAGCCTTTCCTAAGGATGATACATATTAAATATTTAAAAAGGAAAAGAAGGAAACTGTTCATCTTTTAATATAAAGAAATATTTAGATACGAAGAGATCTTTTGGTCATCAATTTTATGATGTTTTCATTTATAAAAACCTTATTTGGCCTACTGTAAGGATGATACATATTAAATATTGAAAATATCACTAAGTAACATAAGTAAATATTTAGTTGAAAAGTTTGAATGCACACATTTTTTGATTTTTTCATCTAGCCTTTTCTAAGCATGATTTTTTTTTTAGAAAAAATAACCCTTAAATTAAGAGTACAAACAATTTGTAATATTTTAACATACAATAAAAAAAAAAAACATTTAAATGCAAAGAGAAAAGTTGTAATACATTTTGGTCATAAATTTTATGATTTTTTTAAGTAAAAGTTAAAAGGAGGTTATGGAAAAATGTTATCTTTTAACAACAAGAAGTCTAAAATGATGACTTTCTTTTCATATTTCATGAATCTCTGTAGAAACTTTTTAAATATCAACTTACCTGTGGTGTTTAGCGATCTGCGTTTTCGGCCATAGGACAAGAGGGACCTAAACTCGCCACTGGTATCCTCCTGTTCGCACTGGACGGGCTCACAGCTGGGCATGCATGGCGTAACCAGGGCTCTGAACTGGACCACCTCGCTCGAGGGGAACTTGAAGGCATCGAAGTTGGAGAGCAGCACCTTGCCGGAAACCGAGCCCTTGTAAATTGGCCCCATTATGAAGTGGTCGGTGGGGCAGCCATTTGAATCAATTAAGGTAATTTCCGAGTTATCCACGCCATCCATGGCCACCAACTCCCGGATGAAGATCTCGTAGGGACTCTGCTCGTCAACAATCTCGAACTTGAGCGCGAGGGGGTCGCCAACCTCGGCGGAGCGCATCATATCGGAGCCATCCCGTGAGGTGATCCGCATGATGACGTTGGGTGACTCCACAATTACCTCCTCGGAAAGTGCCGGCATGATGTCCCCGCGCACGTCCAGGTCGACGCCATTGCTCACCGACTTGTTGGCCAGGTCGTACTGACAGGCCAAGGCCAAGCCCAAGTCGGAGGATGTCACAATCATGTCGTGGTGCTGGATAATTATGTCGTTCACATAGCGGCCGGCCGTGCTCTGCCGCACATTGCACTCCAGATCGTGATAGTTCATCCGCAGCTCAAAGTCCAGGGCACTCTTCACATCCACCGAGCAGGACTTGGGCGATCCCTTGGCGTACACCTTGCCGCTGAACAGCTTGGAGGTGCGGATACGTGCCAGCATATCGCCACCGCCGCACTCGATGGTTACGTTGTAGCAGGAAGTCAGCTCATAGGTCGACGCCTCGGGAACCTCCAAGAAGGGTTCCTGCACATCGGCCAAAGTGGCACGACTGTGATGGGACAGTCTGCAGACCATGTCCCCCGTGTCATTGTAGTCGTACGAGTGGCACCTTAAAAGAAATTATCGAGTATACAAATAGAAAGGGGGCTTATATGATCACACAATAAAATGACACAAGAATTGAACTCGGGCAAGCCGAAGTCCACATACCCTTGCAAAGTTTATACACCCTATTACAAAAATTAAGTATGCTATAAGTCGACTACATTTTGATTTTTATGCGCATATGTTTAAAAACAATGAAGCTTTTATAATTTTTCATTAAACTTGCATGTTATTCATTTCTTGTAAAATAAAAAATTGTAATTCCTAAATAGCAAACTATTGCTATTCGTATAAATTAAAAAGTTATATTATTTTTTATTTAGTATTTGATTGTTCTATGGAAGCTATATGACCGATCGACCGATCCGAACTAGAAAGAAAAAAGATGCTGATCAAGAAGAGGAGACATTTCCTACCCTATAAATTATATATATTTGTGAAATTATATATATATTAGTGATCAGCATCTCACCGTGTTGCAAACTTTTAGCTGAAATTAGAGAAGCAATAACTGCTATCACACACCAATTAATGCATTAAATTTTGTTGTCTATGTTTATAGTTTTATTGATAAGTAAGACATGCTACTCACCTATAGGGCGAATTAAGGCACAGCTCCCGGCACTCATCAATGCTGCTGACTTCTTGATAAACCGAGTCCACAGTCTTTAGAATGCGACCACGCAGACGTTTGAATTCGCACAGCTTATTGGGTTCATCGACACAGTGATTTTCAAGGTAATCGGTCCCTTCGCTCGTCTGGAAGGCACTGGAGCCGGCTAACGTCAAGCGATCCAGCTCACTTAGCTCGCAGGCACCAGAGACACGATCATAGTTGGCAGATCTATGTGGCACATAAAAAAGGAGAATAAAAAAGGGATCACTTTAATTGGCACTCAGCTCTGCAGGTGTAAGGATGGAATAAATATTGAGGTTCTTAAATTAATTACCAACGGGGCGGTTCGGGCGAAAACAAATAAATAACAAAGGAACACCATATAGAACTTTTAGAATTCGACCAATATATTTGTGTAATAAGAAAAACGCAAGTTTTAGCCCTAAAGCCAGTAAAAATCAAGGGGGTTAAGAAAATTATATGGGCTACATAAATATTTCGTATTCCCAGCTGTAGGGTATTCAATTACCACTTAAGTTTAGATGTGTGACCTGAGTATTGGAGCACCCAAAAATATAGTGACATTTTTGGATGGTAATTTATTCGAAACAGTCGAAACAGATAGAACATTTCGCACTATGACACTAAAAAGTGAGCTCTTACCTGCATGTGAATTCGGTTTCACCTAGGCAAAGTTCAAAGCACTCGCGTCTTGACGCCACCGACACGGTACGCTTAACTTCCGTCTTGAGCTTATAGTTTTGCACACGATCGACGTACCAGGCTCGCGAACAGGGCTTCACGGAGAGGCATGATTTTTGGGCATAGATAGTGAATACGGGGAACTGCGACTTGGTTAGGGCACCTTTTTTTGTAACGATTGCGATTAAAATGTGAGGTAGTTTGTTTAGCGTCGTAAGTAGCTTACCCGGTAATTGATCGGCATGTGCTGAAAAGAGCACGCAAAGTCCCGTCTCATAGTTGACTGACTGGCAGGTTTTGTTCTTCCTACAGGTGTCTAGGCAATCGGTGAGCATTAGTGTGCCCGGCTGGGAGTCCATCAGTTTCTCGGGAGCCGAGAAGACATATCTGCCGAGAGACTTATTGAATAATTTCCCACTCATAAGCCATCACTATCACTACTATTACTTACCCTGTCACAATTTCAAAGCCCACAAGCTCAGGATTGCAATCGATTGGCGCATTATCATAGTAGACATTATCCTCATCGGAACCCAAGGGGCTGGACGAATCCGAACTGGCCGACAAGTCGAAGTTTGAATTCCGGGTCTCGACTGTTTCAATGGGCTTCTCCGTCTTATTGATCTCGGTGGGTTTCTCCTTCAAACTGGGCACTTCTGTCTGGGTCTCAATCTCATCGGAAGCAATAATCTTACTGGCATTCGGAAGTGCTGCGGTCACAGATTCCACAGCTTGTCTTCGGATACGCAGATGTTCCTTGGCCGTGGCCACACTGTATAGCATCAAGGCTAGGAAAAGGTGTCTTAAAAGGTTGATCTTGGCCATCTTTAGAGTATCACTGGGGCCTGCAAAAGATGTTATACATTTATAAACTTAAATAGAGCAAAACAGTACTCAAAGAGTATCAATAAGAGAATGTGTTTTACATTAATTATTATTAAAACAATTTCATCTTAGAAATGTTAACAATTTCATATTGAAATCTTTAAAACATAGCATAATAACATAAAAAGAGTATCTTTAATAATATTTTTTAATAAGCTAATACAAATATAAATTCCCCTAAATCACTAATATCAGCCTAACAAGTTTAATTTTACAAGGACGTAATCGTTAAGTTTATCGCAAGACTTTATTTATAAAGCGCGGTAAATTGAGTACGCAGATACTGTCTCAATCTTTTTAAATTAATTTGTTTGCCATGAGGCGTAACGCAAATTATGAAGTCCCTGGGGAAAGACGATAAAACGGAAAACAATATCACGGGCAGTAACTCCGTTGGAGGAAACCTGCAGCTCACGTCGATGACCCCGTGCACTATTCACCACTATTCGCTTGGAGTTTTCTGGTTCGCTGGGCTAAACTCTTGCGCAACTGCCAAGTTAATGGGCATCGCTTATGATTGACGGTTGCGCTGGAATAGACCATCAAGGGGTCATGAGCTCTAATTTTTCGCCCAACTCCAACCAAGTACCATGTAGAACTCGTTTGGCGCGGTCAGTGCTTCTCTGCTTTTCATCCAGAATCCAAACGGCAGGGCAAACAATTTGTGAAATTAATAATACATACAAATACTTGATTCGGGACAACAATTCAATTATCGAAAAGAATATTATTGGATTTTTGAGCAAGGAAGGTAATTGCTATGGGCGAATATCTCGTTAGGAACCTCACTTGAAGCATGACTGATTAGCATTATAACTGTATTTCAATAGATTACACATACATATATATTCAGAGACGGACTTATTAAATTCAACCGTTATTCCATATGAATTCTCATGAATAGCCATGTGTGCAGAAAACAACAAAAAATTGGTCGGTAATAGATACGGGGATGGGTACGTAGGTAGAGGTAGGTACATAGGTAGTTAGGTAGTTAGGTAGGTGTTGTATAAGAAACGCATGGCTGCGCACCAGACGCACCAGACACACTAATCCGCTGCGGCGACGTCTCGATCTCTTCTACTATATTATAAGATGGTACATGGTAGATGGCCAGGCCATACCGTTAATATGTATGATTCATAAACCCTGCATTGGTCAAAACGAGCCGTAACTTAATTAGAGATAAAATGCTTGAAAGACTTTTGAATCTATGTTTGTTTTCCCCTCCACATTTGATTCTCGCTTTGGGAATGGCTTTTGAATGTATGAAAATTTCGAGGTCTGGTGCACATGGCTCATATGCCAGCACCATCACCATCAGCAGCACCAGCAATGCCATGTAAAGAATGGCCACTCAGGAAGCTGCATTATAACGAGTCCATGACCATGTTATTGTACAAAAATCTTGTAGAAAGCGGCAGAAGAATTGGGTCAATGATTATCGTCAAAAAGTTGTTTTGCCGAGCATAGACATATGTATTGGGTTGCTGCTGCGCCCGCAGCGATCAGGTTGAACCCAGAGCCAGAGCCAAAGTCAAAGCCAAACCGAAACCCAAACCCAATCCCAAACCCAAACCCACAGTCAAAACCAAAAAAGACAACCGGTATGGACACCCGAAGGAAATAGCACCGCCTAACTGTGTCGCTGATCACAATCGATTAGTGCGAGCAGTCGTTTATTGCCTAAATTACTGTTAAATGATGGTCTTTTTTTGGGGCCAAGAAATCCGGATTCCATAAAAACGTTTACATACCTCAAATAGTTGGCATGTTGGGAAAACAAATGTGTAAAAGATGGTTTTTTGTACACACATCACACGCATGAGGATGAAAAGAGTTGCTAAGTACTAAAGAACATCTAACTTATTATTTCCATGTAATACCTTTCTGTATAAATGATATTTTTATCGGGACTAAGATCTTAAAATTCAAAAGATGAAATAGAAATTTTGTGATTGTGATGATTTCTTTTCGAGTTTTATTAACTTATGAAAACTTTTTAGTTAAGACTTCAAAATTCAGTAATTGGAATAGAAATTTGGTGTACAAAGAATTTTTCTTTTCACATTTTTTTTAGTTATCTTCAAAACTACTGTTGTAATAAGCCTATTTGGCAATTTAAATTTTAACCAATAATAAGCAAAAAAATAAGAAATATATCATTATTATTATTCAAAATTACTGGTGGCAAATTTTTTGTTATAACCAATAAGGATAATGAAAAGAGGATTAAATTCATATATTTTAAGACTCGCTTTTAATATGAAAATACTTCTCTATTTTAGTGCACTCGACATCTGGAACGACTTTAGTCAATAAAGTGCTCTGAAAATATGCACGACATTAAACAATCAATCAATCAATCAATCAATCAGATAAACACATCACAATATCGCTTATGGGATCACTGTTTCGGCCAATCAGCACTTGTAAACTGTTTAGCACTTTCGAACTTTTTCTTTCATTTTACTAGGTTTTATGGCTCTTTTAGCCTTAATAGCTCTTTTTTATTTCCAAAAGTGACTACACCCATTCTGACCGACTTCAATTCCATTCACATTCAGCCTATTTCCAGATGCATGATGTAATTAAAAGATCTACCAGCCAGCCAGCCGAAAAGTCAATAGAAATCAGAATTTCAAGGGGAAACGCCGCCAAAAAAAAAAGAACTTTCACCATTCTGAATGTGTTAATGACTTCATTTCTTCGGTCGCTTAAATGTTGCTTTATTTAACGGTAGATATCACACTGTTAAATCAAATTCCAATTTGGCGAAATTTTGAATATGCTCAATTACAGATTCGTGGGATAATCGAGCGTCTAACGAACTACTACTGTGTTAATGTCCAGCATTTAGGCTCCTATGGTTTTTTGCCATTTCTGGCTATTAGTCTTGCATACATTATGTGAAATATTTGCTCCATTATGGCCAAGAAGACCCTGCCATCACAGCCATTCCAAAACGGACGTCCTAATGTTCGCTAATGTTTTGACGGAAGCTGCAGACTACGTCTGCTGGTGTCTTGAAGAACAAAACACGGAGGAATGGATTACAATGGAATGGGACGGACTTTTGCATTTTACACAATTTCTTCTCATGTCGTGCGTTTTTGCACCAGCAGCAGCAGAAGCAGCAGTCTCTTTTCCTTTATTCTTGCAGTTCACTTATTCAGAATGATTGTCCCCGGTTTTTCAATGCTGGCCAAAGTCATCCGTCAGCTTGATCACTGCCGTTTAAATAAACCGGTTAACATTTTTTGTTCAGATTTTTCTTAGTTATTCTTCAGTTAGTGCAGCGGTTCGATTTGTGGTTAAAAACTAAGCGAAATATTATGTATCTGTTCCCGCCATGGGCCTATCAAATAATGCCAAATGATCGTGCATTTCGTTAAAATTCAACTTAAACTTGCCCCTGGCAACTTATACTTTTGCCGAACAACAATTACCTAATTAAGAAAGTTATTTTCTACCGCCTATCCCGAGAATTTCAGCTTAGTCACACTGAAACAAAACACTTTCGCAGCCCAAGAAACACACTGTTCACACACTCTGGGGGGACAAAGGAAACGCCGAACTTGACCATTCGATGGTCGCCGCAGAACTGAAGTCTTCAATGCCGCCGAGTGACTTGTTATAAAAATTAGATAAAGAAGTTCTGTAGAAGGAGAGGGCGGAAAAGAGCGAGAGAAGCGAAGACCGAGCAACCTGAGTCTGGAATTCTTACAAAAGAAAGTCTTGGGGCTATGGATGCTCTGAGCCGAGAGAATCTCAAACAAAAAGAAATTGTTTGCATGGTAAATACCCGTCGCCTCGCAGTCGCAGTCGTAGTCGTTGTCGTAGTCGTATCACCTGCACAAGATCTCTCCACTGCGAACTCAAACGTGTTCGGGATGCAACCACCTTGGCTTGCGGGGAGTAATTGCGGTCAACGATCGAGAACAATGTGCACCTGTCTCCGCTCTTTCGGCTCCACTCTCTTTGCCTGTTAGCAACATGCAGGTACTCCACTTGGAGAGTTGCCTCTAATCATTTTCTTATTGGACTGTTAACGCCTTGGACCCACAGAAACAAAACCTAGGCGTAATAATGGGTTTTGGCTTATAACTGTCGCTTGCGTTTTTATTATTTTTCACTTTCACTAATGAGCTACACGTGAAATCGTTTGTCGCCCATTTTCTCTTATTCTAGCCATGTGGCTTAATCGGCTTAAGTTAAATCTACCATAACATTTTGTGTGGGCTTAGGTTTCGGCGTTTACTTTTACTCAATTTCAGATTCCATCCTACGGCCACGAACAGAAACAGAGATCAATGATATCTGCCGATCTTGAATAGCCCACTTTTATTGGCAAAGACAGTCTGTGTGTGTGTGTGTGTGTGTGGTGAGCAAAGATCCAGCGCTTTCCGTGTGTTTGGTATGTAAATCTAGAATGGCCCATCAAACGGTGTTTGATTTCCAAATTTATGGGTCAAGCCAATGCAAATCAGTTTTCGAGTCCGTTCTTCAAGAAACGGGTCGTGCTTTGATAACAAATTGGACAAACAATAAATGTGTGAAGACCAAATTTGGCCATTAATGCCATGCAGATGATATAGCCGCAAATGTGTCAAAATAGAGGCAAAGTGGACCGATGAAGAAAGCCCTATATAATTTTACCGGTTATGAGATGATTCATAGAAAGGCCCCAAAATATCTCCGCAGACCGTTGGACTTTTATTGTAAAACTATTCTTTTTTAAAGACAATAATCACAACAGCCAAAAAGAAGAAAATGTCACAGAAACCAAACTAAAGTTACAAACTATTGAGTATGAAAAATGACTTAATAAGATGAGTATTAAATTAAAAACCAGGAGTGTATTAAAATAAAATTTATGTGGTTTTAAAATAAGGCTTCAGCCTACAGTTTTACACTCTTCGGTACAGAAATGAAACAATATGATTTATTATTAAATTAATACTTATACATGAACACTGTCATACAAATATGTGGTTTAAAAAGATACTCAACAAGGAATGTAATCTGATCAAGAACATTCTTACCCAACATTTGATTCACCTACTATGTGTATACTTTAATTAGCCCGTTTCTTAATAACTTATAGCACGAACGTTTAGTAATCTGCTTGGGAAGACAGTTATGAGATAAACGTAACTTCTTCCTAATTACAAAATAATGGGCACTTATTGAAATGCTTTTTCTCATTATTTTTCACGTTCCCCTGTACTTAAAGTCAGCCATAACCGTCGCACATTCCTACTTTAATAGGATTCTTTCACCGGCTAAGTGTAAATGATGTGCAAGTTATTGCTGATACTTAGCTTTTCTCTCAGCCTATATGCGCAAAATCGACCGGACCCACGCATTGTTGGCGGATTTCCAGCTGATATAGCCAACATTCCGTACATAGTGTCCATCCAACTGTTTGGGATCCATCACTGCGGCGGTTCAATCGTCAGTAGGCAAATCATTTTAACTGCTGCCCATTGTTTGGGTGAAGTTTCGCCCCGTCTGCTGAAAGTTAAGGTTGGTGGCACTTCGCGGAATCGTAAGGATGGAGTACTATACTCAGTGGCCGAAGTGCACAGCCATGAGAAGTACAATGCCAAGACCATGGACTATGATATCGGAGTGGTTCGATTGACCAAGAACCTGACATTGTCCAACAAGGTTTGTGTTCACCTGACCTTAGATGGTTTCTGCCAACTGAAGGGCTTTCTTTTTCAGATAAAGGTTATACCTGTGAGCCGTAGCAGGATAGCAGATGGCACTTATGCCACCATTGCCGGCTGGGGATTCAAGTCCATGAATGGCGCTCCGTCGGACAATCTGCAATATGCCCGAGTTCCGATCGTAAACCAGACCGCCTGCAGAACACTACTGGGCAAAGGGGTCACGGATCGGATGCTTTGTGCAGGATTTCTTCGCGGCGGCACGGATGCCTGCCAGATGGACTCCGGCGGACCCTTGTCGGTCAGGGAGCAACTGGTGGGCATCGTGTCCTGGGGAGTGGGGTGCGCCCTGGCCGATAAGCCCGGCGTTTATTCACGCCTAGATGCGTTGTACCCCTGGCTGAAGAAGTTTATAAGTTAACTCGCCTAAAAACAATAACTTAATATTGGTTTTTACGAGCGTGAGACTAGCGCACAGCAGCAGCACATGGGCACATTAAAATAAAAGCTTTCACTTTAACTACCTGTATGTAGATTTGATCGTAAAAGTGCATTGAGGTTCGCAAACATGCCAAGAAATTATTACCATAAAGTTTTAGTGCCACTAAACTAAGTTTCCAATTTAAATTTCTGAGTCTCGCAAATTTTCATTATTTTCTTTCATAACGAAGTTTGATATTCTTGATTCTTTAACTGCCAATTCGAAAATTATCTAAATGTTCGATTGATTCTTGGTAATTAAGTTGCCACTTTGAAAATTCGAATGAAGAAAATAAATAGTTTTACTCCACAGAATTCTCAAGCATTTTTTGAAGTTGAAATGTATTAGTTAAAGATTTTACAAGCAATTAAATTAAATTCAACTGCCACTTTGAAAATTCGAATGAAGAAAATTCAATTCTCAAGCGTTTTTATAAAGTTAAATTGTGTATTAGTTAAAGATTTTACCAGCAAATAAATTTTCACAATTATTATTACATATAGTGATGCAAAAACTTTTTTAAAAATTAAAACAGTTAGAATTTCAAAAAATAGTGTGACCATGTTTGGAAAACCGTGAAATTGAAGCGGTATATTCCCTGTTTTAAGCTGCGGCCACACTGGTCAAAACAAAAAATCAAAATAAAAACAATGGACCTGCAATTCGACAGCGAGACGTATTGGAACCGATCCTCTCGAGCGGCGTTCAGCTTCGACGACGAGGACGAGGTGGACCTCGCGCCGGACTTGGCCGGCAATGGAATCCTCGCCGACGACACGATTTCGGAGGCCAGCTTTAACAACAGTGCCACTCTGAATCTCTCGATCAAATCCATTTTGAGCGAGGACGCCCTGAAACTGGTGCTCCAAGAGCAGACACTGGACGACCGGGTGCTGCCCAAGGGTGTTTCGCCGGAGGAGGAGCTCAAGCTGTTGCGTCGCCAACTCCAGAGCACTCTGTACAGTCCGAATCTGGAGGCCACGGCCCAGAAGTTGTTGCAGGGCAAAACGGCTCCCTTGGAGATGTTCAAGTCGCTGCAGGAGAAGCAGCAGTTGCTGGACACCCTGCTGGCCCAAGGTGGTGGTCATGCCGTCATCACGGTGCTCCTCTTCCTCAAGCGAACCCTAAATGCGTTGCATTTCCATGCGATTCTGAGGGAGCGTCCTCGGGCCTTGGAGCAGTATCTGAGTTATCTGAAGGAGAGCGGCGACCTGGCCAGTCACATAGAGCTGTTGCAGCGATGCGGTCGCCACCAGGAGGCGGCTCTCAAGCAGTTCCAGGCTGCCCTGGCAGCCGATGATCTGGGCACCAGGAAAAAACATCTTCAACTGCTGGCAGATGCCTACGCCACTGCGGGCGTGGGTATCATACCGCTCTACGAGCAGGTGTTCCACGCCGCCTTGAAGATGCAGCAGCTAATGGAGAAGGAGACGGGCCTGGGCAAGCTGCTCCGCGATCAGCCCACGCCCGTGGAGGTACTCTATGCCTGCTGCCAGGCCAACAGCAACTGGAAGGAGCAGGATATGCTGAAGCCCGTATCACCTCAGCGATTTGCCGCCGATCAGCAGATATCCGCCGCTCAGTACGAGTGGACGGCCCTCAACGAACGGGCACAGGCGCAGGCGTATGCCGATCTGGAGTGCATATTCGAGCGGGTGCCCAGTTGGCATCCCCTGAAGACCAAGCAGTTCCACATCAGCTTCGACCTGACGCTAGCCGTTCTCCGTCTCTACGAGTTGCAGGCTCCGTCCACCGTTCTGCAGCTCTTCCTCTCCAAGATGGGCAACAGTGGCGAGAAACTGGCGCTGGCCCGGCGGGTGAAGTGCATCCGGGCGGTGATCGATGCCATGGCCGGGCTGAAGCAGCAGCAGGAACTGCAGCAGCTCAAGGACACCCTGCCCGAGCGATCCGAGGAGCAGTTCTACTGCGAGAACGCCCTGAAATCCTTGCAGAGCAAGCGCTGGACTACGGACAACATAAAGCTTAAACTGTAGAAGCATCATCATCATCTCTCTACTATTTGTATAAACGTATTTTATTGTTAATCATATATATGTGTATATAATTAATATTAATCCTACTCTGGTTTTATTAAATAATTGCAAATCACAAGCTGAATATCGAATAAAAAACAAAAAATCTGTATGTATATATGTATGTGTATATCCTGCAGCCTCCTTTTGATCTGTTCGATGAGCAGTTTGGGATTACTTTCTTTCGGTTTCAGATTTTCATCTAGTTTATTGAGTAAACAAATAAAAAAGCAGGCGTGGCCAATGGCAAACAAAGCGTTACAAAAATTGAATTCTTTAAACAATTTGTTTGTCTTAAATATTTCGTTTAAATAACAGCGCTGTATAAAGCATTTGATGTATGTATAAATAACCGCAAACAACAATTATGGTATATATATATATAATTAGGCGTAAACATGTAGGGGAAGTGGGGGGATCTGGGTGTGTTTTTCTGTGTGTGTGTGTGTTCTCGGTCCGAATTTACAACGAAACATATTAAACAAGACAGACGACAAGGACGGGCCCTCAACTGATACATTTCGAACGGAAGTTGACAAGATCCAGGACCTCAAACGGAAACGGAAAGGGAAAGGTCAAGGGAAACCACCTTGGCTAATTGGCAGCCTCGCAGTCCGAGTAGCTGAGCAGGCGCTGGCACAGGATCGTCTTGAACTTGACCGTAAAGCTATCGAATATGACATCGGTATCCTGCAGCTGCTGCTGCTGCTGCTGTTGCTGGTGCTCCTGACCGGCCGTCTGATTGCTATCCGCTGCCGCCGCAATGAGCTGCTTGAACTTCTGGTTGAGATTCTGCTCCAGCGTGGTGTTGTTGTTGTTGAAGTAGAAGACGTAGGCCAGCTCCAGCAGATAGTAGTCCAGATCGCCCATGAAGAAGCGCTCGCACTCCAGCATATCGAACTTGCGCTCCAGGAAGTGCAGACACAGGTGATAGATGAGGTGCTTCAGGTCCGATCTCCTCAGCGGCACATAGCCCGTGTCCTTGCTGAAGTACTCGAACAACTTGAGGGTGCGCTGGGCGGAGTCGCAGCTCTGCAGGCACAGCCGAAAGGCCTCCACGAAGCGAAAGTTGAGCATGCAGATGCGTATGCGGTACTCATTCCGATTTGGACGGGCGCACTCGCCGATCTTGTCGGGATTGTACAGCCCATGGAAGGCGTACAGGCAGTAGTGGATGTAGTGGCGCAGCTGCTGCAGCGACGTCTCGCCCATTCCCTCGCTGCTCTGCGTAAAGGTGCTGCCATCGTCGTCGTCGTCGTCATCGTCATCGGCTCGATTCAGCAATTTCTCCCCCCTCGCGGGCATCCCCGAGCCCATGGCCTGCTCCGGCAGCGGCACATAGCTCTGCTCCTCGGGCGTGTAGTCCATGTCCATGGAGCTGTGGCCATCGCCCAGCACGGGCGCATTGTACGAGAAACTGGCGTCGTTCTGACTCAGGTTCTCCAAACTGCTCAGCATGTCGTCCGAGTCCTGCCCGGTGGCCGCATGCTCCGTGCTGCTCTTGTAGTTCGGCGTGCCCACGGAGTAGTGCTGGTCGAAGCTGATGTTCGCCGGCTGCAGGAAGTGCGGCTGATATGGTGGCATGACCTTCAGATACCTGACCGCATCGTGGTCCAGTCGGATGCGCGGTCTCGGCAAATTGATCTCCACGGGCGCCTCCACGCACTGGCTCTCGAAGCGCATCAGTCGCTTGGTGGTCGGCAGGCACACCACCCTCTGGCGCATCCGCTCCACGCTGGGACCCAAGTCCCGGCCGCACTGACCGTTCGAGTTGCCGCCAAAGGCTCGCACAACGTGATCGGTGGTCATGACCAGCGTGAAGTCCGCACCGCAGTCCACGTACATCGGACGCTCGATGCTGTCGATGGGCGAGGGCTTGAGCACCGCCCGCCGATCCTTGTCCTCGGTGCCCAGCTGGTGCTCCAGGTTCTTGCCCCACGTGTAGAGCGTGCAGCTGGAGGAGATCAGGCAGAAGTGGAACAAGCCACTTGAGATCTGCCAAGTTGAAAGTAATCGATAATCGACTTATAGGTGACACATTCCAATTGAACTAACCTGCAGAATTTGACCTGCCACCTCGCTGGTGGACACCAGATGAGGCGTCAGGTGCTCCGTGGGATCCGGTTCGGTGGCAGCAGCTGGTGCAGGTGCCTTAAGTATTTCCGGCTCTCGCGCACACGCCGGTGCAATCTTCTCCGTAGCATCTGATGGCGCAGCCTCGCTCTGGTCCTCCTCACAATCTTTGGTCTCGCTGGGTGCCTTTGGGGTGGCCCCAGACACCACCGCGGCATAGGATGTGGTGGGTTCCACCAGGACACTGGCACTGGCACTGGCACTCGGTATGGGTGCCGGCAGCAAGGTAGCCTCCAATTGCTTGCTCAACAGCTCGCGCTGTTGATTCTCCTCCATTTTCTGCTTGGCATTGGCGCGTCGCTTGATTTGATTGGCCAAACGCAAGGCCTGCGGCGAGCTGCCCCATGTGTAAAGACGATCCTGTTCGTCTACAACTAACTGCGGAGGCATAAAGCAGGTAACTTCATGGAAACTTAATCCCCATAGCAATAGCTTACATTGGTAAAAAATTTGGTGTGTATCAGTCTTAGGCTGCAGCCGCCCACTTCGAGGCGCACTGGCAGGTTCGTCTTGGTGTCCCCGTGGTCGCTGTTGCCGGTGCCCAGCTGGCCAAAGTGATTGGAGCCGAACACGAAGAGCTCGTTGCTGCAGTAGTTAGCCTCCATGTAGCTGCTGCTGCTGCACAGCACCAGAGTGTGCGCATGGCCCAGCGATATTTGTAAAACTTTCTGCAAAACGGGAAAGCAATTTAGTAAGACAGTTAGTGTGTTAGCACTCCACTTACCTTATACTTGAAAAAACTGACTAGTTGTGGAGTAGGTATATTCTCACAGCTGCCCTGTCCCAGCTGGCCATAGACGCCCCATCTGGAAAGAGTGTAAGCATAAGCTGATATGCAAAGCAAGCAAAACAGCCTTTGACTCACCCCCACATATAGAGCTTGCCATCCGCCACAGCCGCATTGTGATATTGACCCGCCTCGAGCATCGTTATGTTCATGCCGTCCAAGGCCGTGACCAGCATCGGTTGCAAGGCCATCTGCATGTGCCGTCCAATGCCCAGCTGGCAGAGATTGTTGTTGCCCACTGAATAGAGCTATACGAATGTGGGAACATTAATGGCCTTACAATTTCAAGTTGAAGTTTAGAAACCTACGCCATTATTGGTTAGTATAAGTGTGTGCTGTCGTCCACACTTGATAGCGTGCACTTGCAAATTGAGCTGGGAAAGGAGATCTAAGCTTTTCACAGC